AATCGGGTCTTCAGACGACTCATTTGCAGTGCTCACAGCGTACCTATTGTATGAGAGCAAAACATGACTAGACTAACAGACACAAACTCCCTAATGTCTACATTGTTAATTATAGCAGAGAGGTAATTAAGTTACCCCTTGCTGCTTCGATGTAAGACAACAGCAGAACAATAGCACAGTCTGATAAGAAATGAGAAACACGCGCATCAGAGACACAATGGACAGAGCAGTACCAGAGCACCATGAGTATCTCTCCTTGCTGGCATCAGACACAATGAGAGTTGCACAGAGGCAGTCCTAGTGCAAGGAGATGGTGGAGATTTTCATCCTGTATTTCCCAATTCAATTCTCATCCTCCACTATCCCTGTGACTCAGCTCATTTGCATAATTCTCAGGTTTTCAGAAGAGAGGAAACCATCAGTCTTTGAAACTGAATTTCCTTAACGTTTTAGACCTTTGGGGTGTAAAATACCCCATTGTTATTGTTTGCAGTTACTACATATGGTGGCCCTGAATAAAATGAGGTAACATAGGGGCAGTAGTCTGCTGAAGCTGGAGTTCCAACAGAAACTCCCTAAAACATCTAAGACACGGAGCCTGAAGGCTAAGTGAGGTAGGGAAGTAGCCAACAAAATTACCTTGATGAAAGACATCATGTAGCTTCCACCTCCCCCTCAAAGAAGATATAATCATCACTTACACGTCCATCATTAAGTAGGTGATGAATGGCAGAACAAGCAGAAATGGAGCACAAAATGCTTTAAATGTGCTCAAAGCCCAAGTCAGATGTGACTTTTGCATATTCCTTTCGAGAGCTGCAGCAAAGAATCTACAGTGTGGTGTGTAGGGAATAGTGACATGTCTTTCATTAGCCAGCTACAAGGGTACACTCCACAAGAGAAGAAAAAGAAGCTATCTCACCTCTCCCTAGAGAACCTTACAACAGGCTGTGGCTTCCCACAAACCTGGAATCATCTAAACTCCAATGGTCACTTTGCAGTGGGAATATACACAGCCTGCAATCAAAAGGTAAAAATTAATTCCCCAGTGGAAAAAAATGAAGTTTGAATTTAAGAATAAAAACTGTTCAGCTTTCATAAGCTGAAGATGTGTCTGGTCTGTACTTTTGCTTCTTGTTGATACTAGAAAAAAGGAAGCACTGTAAAAACAGAAGGCCAAGGAAATCATTGTATGACATTAGAGCTGGAGTTTACATACTTCTCAATAAAAAAGAAAGCCATGAAAATAGTCTGAAGGTTACTGAATAAACAGGTTGGAAGGTGTCCAAACCAAGCCCAAGACAGAGCAGATTTCAACCAACCTGTTCCTGAACAACTAAAAGAAAAAGGATGTCAAAACTTGAGGAAGGAAGAACAGGATTTGCTCACACCTCACAGGGTTCCCTTCAGAGCTGTTTTTCAAGATGGGGTGTAAAGAACACACTCATTACAGCTCCCTGCTACACCAGTGTTGTTTATGGCAGCTCTGAAACTGCACTGTCACAATTCCAGCTGAAGTCTGGAAATTGAGGAAAATCCCTGGTAAAGAGAATTTTTTTAGATGCTCGAAGGAATTTACTTTTCAATCTTTGAATTAATTTTGCGTTCTGACTATTTTGTGCCAAAACGCTTCTAACATTTACAGGGTATGCAATCACTTGCTGCTCGTCACATTGCAAGGTCTGAGTTGGCATAAGAAAGAACAAGATTGTATACATGACATCAGGAGCTGTTGGGAGAGAGGTGTAAGAACCAAGAGGACTCTGAAGTTCACTGAATCTCTCTGAAGAATGTCACATGGAGAGCAAATCTGTCAAAATCATGGTGACAGGAAAGAGCAAATGGCACTTCCTAATGTGCTGGGGACTGAGGGTTGCCAGCTCTCCTGGACTGCTGAGCACAACCATTACACCATAGATGAGTTTTAGCTGAACCAGACTCTCCAAGATGCCTCAAGGTTGTAACAAACCCAGCAGAGCCTCAGTTTATATTAATAAGCCAATCTTAAATCGGCACACTTGCAGGTTCCAACTTCTAAGCAGATCCACTAGTCCTGCCTCAGGGATGGCAAGAGCATTTGGAAGCAGAAACAGCCTCAGCCATGTAATTTTTGTCCGTCACCACTAGTCTATCAGAGCTCCAGGCAACTAACTCCTCCTAAGATGAATTCCAGAATGTTTTAGGTCGGACACAGGCACACAGGCATGAATATGGTCACACAACCACCTCAGAGCTTGTAGGCTGGAAATGAAGACACCTACCAATGGACACACTATTGTGCTTAGGCAATTAGTACCTGTATGGGTATCTGTATCATGGTTTTGGATCTAGGTGTCATTCTGTCCACACAAGACCTGCTATAGGCATGAAAGTTATGGGCCTGGAGAGAAAATAACCTTTCTGCTTGCCTGAATATATGTGCATTTCATCTGATAATATTCAAATCTCTTTAGCTATGTTATAATGAGGTTAAAGCAAGAAAAATTTCCCCACCTCAAATATTACAAATGTCAGTAATGAGAACAGTAAAAATGTCACCACACGGAGAAAAGAGTGAAATTAGCATATTCAGAGGAGTATTATACCCATGAGTGAAATAATGCAATCAACTAGCTGCAAGATAAAGCTAATTTGGTTTCTAACAGTTTATCAACAATACACTGCTCCTTTACATTAACAAATTTAACCGATACCATATCCTGCAAACAAGAATAATTCACACAGAATATTACGCTGTGTTAATTAAATAGCTGGAATAGAAAAGGTCAGGCCATGACTGAAAGATGCGCATATGGGTTGTGAAGCTATGAAAAGATGGAGTGGTTTCACATCAAGCAATTAAAATAAATTATTTAAATCATCATTAAGTCAATAATAAATACACTTAGATATTTTTGAGCCTATTTCAACAGGCCCCTTAGTTTGTTGCTGTTTCTCAGAAATTTCTCTTTCTTGTTGACCCACAAAAGAGTCAAAATATCTTGAAACCCATCATAAGATGAAGTGCCTTGGATAAGTTATCAAAGAGTTATCCGGCTTATATTCAAGTTTTCATTTGACCATGCAGATAATACGAAGCATGAGACAAGTTTTGCAGTTAAAAGGACACCACAAAGCCCCACTTGCCTTATTTCTGGATGGATTTCCTGCCACTAGAACCATGAAACCTCCACAATTACTACAGTTAATTGAAAAATGCTCAAAGAGAGAAGTACTTTTTCACATTGTTTACTTCTGCAAATAGCAGCACTTTGTCTTTGGATGAATGCCATCAAATCACTTAAATTACAGTAGTAACATACCCTTTTAAATTGAAAGAACATTTTGGCATGGGCTAAACTATGCTGAGGTGGTAATGTATGAAAAAGACTTAGTAAAATGGGGAATTAATCATATTTGGGGCCCCAAAGCACTACCAGAATATGCATCAGTCACAAGCAAGTCTGAATCTCATCCTATGTTTTTACTGTACTTTTGTCACTGCAGCTGTACACAGCAGCCTCAAATTTGAGTTTGCTGTATGTCCCCCCCCCATTATTTAATTGTGCATGAATTTTATTTTTCCTGGGGCATTTCCTGAACTTTTGTAGACAAAATACAATCTCCTTTTGATCATAGTTCTGTTGACTTTGGTCAGCATATACTTCCTTTTTGCACTTTCAGTCAAGGAAAATGAACTGTGTGTACTAAACAAAATGCAATGTCTGTTATGTTCTGAGAATTTCATGGGATTATGTGGTTTTGGCTGCAAAACTGTGGGAGGAGGGCCACGTGTGAAATTCAGCTGTGCACTGCCCAGAACATCAACAGTTATGACACTGACACTGGACCTGAAACCAGTCTGTGGAGATCCCACCGTTCAGCTCTCCCCATTTAATGGGGCATTTATCAAGCCAACTTCCAGACTTTGTGACAGAATGCCTAATCAAGCCACACTGAAATACCCAATTTTTTAGGGAAGATGAAGCACTGTGCAGCATACAAGCCATTAATTTTATGACAAGTGCAGATGGTTGATATACAGACAAACTCTCACATAACCTAGTCTAATGAATATATACTTCAGTCTCTTTAAATGATAATACTAATGAGCATAGCGTTTCCCACATGATAGCATATTCACGCGATTTATTTCAAAATGAATTTCAGTGCATATTGTATCTGAACCCCGCTATTTTTTCTTCCTCACAATTCGGACCATGGTTGATTTGTATCCACCAAAGCAACACGATTTCCTTCTCCCTTTAAAAGGATCGATACCCGAGGGATGTCCTGCTGCAGCACCTCCCTGCGCGAAGGTACCACACTGCGGTGAGGGGCCCGCGGCCGAGAGGGACGTGTCAGAGCTGACGGAGAGCCTCGGCGGGCCCAGTCACGGCCCCGCTTCAGCCGCCGCTTGGCTCTCCCCGTGTCCGCCCTCGGCCCGGGCCTGGAGCCGAGCCGCGCTGGGGCCCGGGACGAAGGGCACCTACCCGGCACGGGGGGACGGCAGCTCCGCGCCCCGGCCATGCTCCGACGGCTCTGCCTACGGGGCGGATCGGCCGGGCCTCGTTCGGCACCGCCTTCGGCGGCGGAAGGGGCAGCGCGGCCCGGGCGCCGCGGCAGGGCGGGGCCGGGTGGCAGCGTGACGGCCGGAGCTCCCCGGCCCTGCCGGTGGCACCCGGGCGGCTGCGCCTGCGGGCGGCCGCTCACCTGCCCCGGGCTCCTCTCCCCCGCTCCCCGCGGGGCGGTGGCCCAGTGCCTTCCCCGTCCCGCACGCCCCCGCTGGCCGCCGGTGCGGCTCTCTCCCCGCGGGCGGCGGGCTCGGCTCTCCTCCGCGGCGCCGGTTTCCTCCTCCCCTCGCCGGCGGAGGAAGGAGGCGGCTGCCGGCCCTTCCCGACCGCGCATGCGGCAGTGCCGGGCCGGGGCAGCGCTGCCGCGCTCGGGGGCTGAAGTGTGGGTGTCCCTTCCCCCGGCCCCGTGCCCTCCTCCCCTGCGGACCCCCGGCAGCGCCCCCGCAGATGGGGCTGGGCTGGAGCAGCGCGGAGGAGCGGCGGCCCCTCCTGCCGCCGCCACCGCAGCAGCCGCGGCCGCAGCCGCGGGGGCCGGCGGGGGGCCCGGCGGGGCGGCTGCCGCCGCTGTCGGGCCGTGTGTACGGGCGGCGGTGGCTGGTGCTGCTGCTGTTCTCGCTGCTGGGCTTCGCGCAGGGCCTGGTGTGGAACACCTGGGGCCCTATCCAGAACTCGGCCCGCCTGGCCTTCGGCTTCAGCGGCTGGGACATCGCCCTGCTCGTCTTCTGGGGGCCCATCGGCTTCGCGCCCTGCTTCTTCTTCATGTGGCTCATGGACAAGAAGGGTGAGCGGGGCCGGGGGCGGCGGGGCCGGGGTTTCGGGAGTCCCCGACCCGCTCCTGTGGCTTCCCCCGGGCCAGGCGGGGACGCCGTGGCCGTGTCCCCCGACGCCGCGGTCCTGTGGCCGCTGAAGGGGACGCTGCCAGACCGGGGACACTCGAGCTCAGTGGCCTTGGCCTTAAAAAGGGTTGACTAATACACTAAAGGCATCATGACTGCTGTTTTCAGTACTGTGCCCAAACGAAGGCACATCAAAGTCCATTCACAAGGAAGATACTTAAGCTAAGCGGAATTAGGGCATCTGACGTCGCAGGTGAGGTGTGGGTCTGGAGGAGTGTGCTCCAGTCCGGCATTGCCGTCCTGCTGTTTGACCTGGACATGGTCGCGATTTCTGGTTACCAAACACGCGCTGATGCTTGGATCAAGTAATATCATTGCTCAGGGTGGCCATTGCATCATGAAACAAGTTCTTAATTTTTAAAAGCAGGCTGGACATGAAGTCTGTGGTTTTCTTTTCCTTGTGCTAGGGAGATACAAAGACAGGGAACACAGAGAAGTTGTGCTTCGGTGTTTCGAAGTACAAGGGAGAGTTTCCTAATTTGTGTTTAGCCAGTTGCATCTCTGTACCAAACTTATAAAAGTGGTGTTTGTCTCTGGAGAGCTTCTCCAGGGTCTGTGTGGTTCCTCTGTGGTCACCCAGGGGACCATTCCAGAGAGGTCAACCTATGTTTGCAGATTTCAGCTTTTGGGCCTAAATCCACTGAAGGGATTTCTTTTAATTCCTGTTTAAACAGACCTCTAAACAGGAGATAGGCGCCAGTGGACCCTTGTGGTTCCTGATCCTAAGTGCTACTTAATTCCATTTATTTAGGAATTAATAGCTCATTTGTGGGAGGGGGAAGAGGAAGGAAAAGTGAAAGCAGGCAGGGAGAAAAGTTGTATTTGAGAAAGCCTCAAAGTTGGAATTACTTTTCCTAAAACGGAAGAGGCATTGAGGGAATAATATATACTGAGCTGAAAGTACATTCTTGAAAGGAGTCCGTGGGGGCTGTACATCCAGTCTTCTCTCAAGCAGTTTAGACTTAAATTGGCAATATGTATCTCAACTGATACATAATAGTGTTGTTAATTATCTTAAAGTAAGTTATTTTGGTTTGTACAGTGAAGACTGGCTTCTCATGGTATGAAGGAAATAAAGGTAAATGTGAACCTGTGCTTAGAGAGCTGAGTCTGTGTTTTTATTTCCACGTTTTCTATGAAGTTGATCCTGAGCAATGCAAAATAATACTGGAAAAGTTTTGAAGTAACTCATGGGAAAAGAAACTTTAGTGTTTTATTCTTTTATAATGTGATTAGTGGTGTAGTTGTGGGATTTCTTGGTTTCGCATATAGGTTGTTTTGATGAGAGTGTGTATACAGGTCTTTTTCTCATTTCCTTAACTGATTGCTTTGGAGATCAGTGTTTTTTGTTGTTTTTTTTGGTTGGTTGTTTGCTTGTTTGTTTTTTTTCAATTCCTTTGTTCATTGGAGGTGCAGATATGAACAACCCCATTGCTCTTGGTTTCTTGCTTTCCTTATTGAGAGAATGTTGGTAGGTAACCTGAATAGAGCATCTCAGCTCATTTGGCTCCGTGTGTGTAAGGAGTACATATGGGCACTGGAGCAAGTTCTTTCCAGATCAGCAGATTTTGTGAGGGCCCTGATTGTTTTCTGATATTTGTTTCATGCTGTTTTCTGAGTCTGGGTGATTCCCACGGACAATGTGGCGCTGTTTACTTTGGAAGTGATGGTGGAGTCCTAGCACTTGGTTCATCATGGAGCAGAGAGGAGACCTACTGAGCCCTGAGTCAGCCATGGGGCACACTTCCACTGGAGGCATGTTGTGAGGAGTTACCTGTTCTTTGCAGTACACGTGTTCCAGGAGGATTTGATGCTACTGTTTTGAAGCTGTAAAGTTGATGGAATCTGATCTTGCAAGGGCAGTGTTTAGCTTGCTGTTACACCAGATTTCCTCTGGAGAAACTACACCATTTACTCTTTGACTTCAATCATCTGTCACTGGAGTTGGCTAGTAAAGAAGCTGTCAGGAAAAAATGTATCTGTGAAGTGTCAACATGTAAAACCTGGCAAGTATCAGAAGTATAACACTGTAAATGAGGCATGTCAAAATTTGAGAGGAGATTGTGCTGTTAGATAGTCCTATACTTCACAGTCAGAGGTAAATCTAACTGATAAGTAGCTGCCTGCTGTCATTTAAGTCTTATTTTGTGTTATGATGCTTCAGAAGAAGTTCAGAAGTATTGGTCTTTCTGGTTTTCAGTTGTTCATTGCAGCACAGTAGTTCTTTACATAAAAGTTCTTTGCATAAATCTGTATCCATACCATACTACTGTTGTGCATCTTATGTACCTGCTCCTTGTTTCAGTACTGGCTGTAAAAGTTTGGTCAGGTTTGTTTTTTTTTGCTTCTTAACTAATTGGAAGTTGAAACAATAAATAGTCATGAATATAAATATTCATGAATAAGGATGTTAATAGTTACAAGAAGCATTTCTTGGATTCCATGATCCAGTTCCATTATAGCTTCTCAGAGAGGCATGGGGCCCTCTGAGAAGAGACAACAGCAGTGTTTATTTTTAGTGAAAGGTGTGCTAAATAAGCTCTGTTCTCCAGTTCTCTACAGAAGGGTTCTAGGAGGGAAGAATTATAATTTTTTTGGTTTTCTAACCTCAAAAGGCTTCTTGGCCTTCGTGACCTTTTTCCTTCTGGCCTGCTGAGGCTATCTCCTGTATTCTTTCTGAAGGTCTGGTTGCAGCCAACCCAAGCAAGACAATTAGGGAATGGCAGGAATATGTGGACTGGGAAGGGTGTATAGATGGTACCCTGGGGAATACTACTGGCAACTGTATGCCTCCCCAGAGGATGACCCAGAAGGGGTCTTGGTGCCAGAAGCAGTGTGACAAGAAGTCTTGGTTGACTTAAGCCTGTTTTTCTATGGATCTATAGGGATATCATGTTTTTTTATGAAGTTGAGGATGACTTTTCATCAGGAAGGTAGTGATGGTCTTTGCAAGGCTTCACAAAGAGTATCTTACTTGAACAGACTCAGAGAAGACATTTTTGAAGAGTGTTCAACAATATTTTAAAGGGTCTTTGAGGTGCTGGAGGAAGCCTTGATTTAGCCCATATGTCTGTAAGCTGTGTAAATTGAAAGCTACTTTGTATTGTTGCTGAGCTCTTGTCCTCTCAAACATACACTGATTTTTAGATGCATAGTGAGGTTCATATATCACAGCTGAAAGTTCTTTGGGGAGTGAGCTCTGTTCCTGTTCCTGTCTCCCATCTTCCTCTTCCTAATGGAGATTTGTGCCAGCTCTTGGGAACCCTTGGGAGTTTCCATGCTCCTTGGCTGGGTTCTGTATAAGGACAGTGGAGGCATTGGTCACGTTTCTTAGTCCTGTTCTGGGATGAGTGCATGTTGAAAATCAGTAACTATATTTGCATATGTCATTTTTGAGTATGTGTCATTTTGGGTGGGTTTGAAAACCCTTTTCTATGCGTAGGATTAGAAGTGTTGTCTTGTTTGGTTTCTTAGTGAAGAAAGGTGAAAAGATTGAGGATGCCATGGAGCTACACATGTCTTATTTGGTGCATTTTCTTTAGCAATAGTCTTAGAGAGTCCTTGTTTAAATTCCAATTATCTTTAGAGATTTAATAAGACTGAAATTAAATGGGAAATTACTTCAGTGTGCTATTGGATGGACCCTTGTTGTTTACATGATTAAAATTAGCTACAATTCATCACATGATGCTTGAGTGTTTATGTACATTTTGTGCCTTGAGTGTTTCATTTCCTGAAAACTGTAAATACAAGCACACAGGACTGTTAGGATGTTTATATATCTAACTTGAAATCAAGGGCTTACATACTTCCCTGGATCTGGTTCACCAAGGGGGTTTTATTAAACTCCTAGTTACAAGATGAGAACTAGAAGCAATATATGTCAGTCTTCATTGTGTTCCCATAAAAGCAAGAAGAGGCAATGAAGAATGAAATATTTTATGATAGTTTACATTAAACAAATTGAGTAGAATGGTGTTATTTTTCATTAATTTTTGAAATACAGTGAACAGTTTTATATTGAATTTGAAGATGAGACATATTACTTGTAAAAGTGGAATGTAATCTATTTCTTGGTCCTTTTTTATAAAATTACATATTTATGTGGGTTGCACAGACAATCTTGTAACTTTTATTTTGCTGAAATTAAATTTACACAGCAATGTTATTCCAATGATCACATTATGAAGTAGAGAGAAAACTTCTATAATCAGATTCTGGTTTTAATCAAGATTGGCTTGTCCATTGACACTATGAAAGTTTTTATTTGTAAGAGTAGTTAGTCCTTTCCTGAATACCAAACTCCCTATTTTATTGCTGTCTCCTAAATCATGTGTCTTGGTTTCCTTCTCTGAGACATTTGATAGTTCTCTCTCTTCCACCTGGGAGTTTTGAGATTAAATCTTTTAATGCAGTCTGACAAAATTGCCATGAATATTGAGTACAAGTACTAAATCGGATCTTACTAATAGAAAAATGTCTTAATAACTGTTCTCCATATAAAATAAACTACACATGATGTATAAACTGAATTGTGCATGGCAGCTTTCAGTTTGGAGTTCCTGGATTGTCACTTGGTGCTGCGTGCATATGCTAGTTTTACTTTCAGGGGACCTTTGGATACCTCTACCTCACATACAGGGTCACTGGGACAGAAGGAAGGAGACTCCAAGTAAACTTGTTTTCTCCTGAGATTTTGGTCTAGGAGGTGTTTGTGAAATGCCTTTGGGTTTATTTTGAGAGATGTGAAAGTGGGTACAGAGAGGAAGCAGGTTGTTGTTCTAGAAGTCGGTGAAAACATGAATGGTCAAGTGAATCCAGCAGGTGGGAAAGATTTTCTTAAGTGTTTTCATTGTGCTTGGCATTTCAGAGTCCTTCTTTGTCA